GTCAGACCCACCATTTATACAAAATGTGTTCCCCTTCCCCCAAGAATGCCTCTGACTAAATTTGGTCAAAATCTGCTCAGTCGTTCATGACTAGTAGCATTTTAAAGGAAAAGTTGACGGACGGACGGACGGACGACGGACGCTGAGGTATGGCATAAGCTCACCACGGTCCTTTGGACCAGGTGAGCCAAAAACAACAAAATTGTGAGTTGACTACATCATCTAAAGTTACCACCAGTTGATATGAGAAAGATCTTTGTTTTGAGCTTTTTGTGATAAAAAGGTCGCATATTTTGTTAATAATGTTAAAACTTACATGATAAACGACAAACATACAAAATTAATTGTTGTTTAAGAGAACAATCAGGCTTTTGGCAAAGTTATTTACAATATAACACTATGAATGTGTACGCCAATATTTTTAATCTTTTCCAATTTATTCTTCTTGAAATAATAATTTTGCTTCTTTGCATGTGTCAGACATTGCTTGTTAAGGGATAGTACTTAAGTCAACGAAGCCATATCTGAGTCTGGAGAAGAATTCCAAGATGGCCAAAGCCCAAACTGTGAAAGTATCAAACTGTCTTCTCATGGTAATAATGTAAATCAAGTTTGAATGATTTCCAGTAGAAAATGAACAAAATATACCCAAAAGTTGCATTTTCCTATATAAACTAAAGTAAAGTTCACCCCTTCCCCAGGGGCAAACGTGAAGCTAGAGGGTCATGAAATTCCTAATTTTGATAAAGTACCTTAAGACCTTTCACCTATAAAGAGTATTGGTTTCAAGCATGTCTGGGTCTGGAGAAGAAGCTTTTTTAAATTTAAGCCAATTTTACCCCTTTTAGCCCTGCCCCTCAGAGCTCCTAGGGGTGGAGACCATACAATTCACAATTTTGGTGCTTATTTGACCAAGGAAGGTTCCTGCATTTTTTTTTTTATTGAAATCGGATAAGCGGCTTCTGAGGAGAAGTCGAAAATGTAAATTGTTTACGGACTCACGACGG